CGCTAATGCATCACATTTGAAATTGCAAATTATAGGAAATCATAACAAAATAAAATTGAAGACAACTTTCCTGAACAGTATATCAACTAGATCCTGTCTTTAACCGAAGTCTAGCATAGCTAATGTTGGAATTCCTTTTTTCATTTTACTTATTTTCACATTTTAACTATGCGCCAAAATGTAGTCAACGGTTTATTTCACATCATGTAATATAATTAAATTGCTATATTTCTGAACTTTCGGCCAAAATGTAGGCAATGATACCTGCGTAAGGGTGCTATACTCATTAACCACATTTTGTGTAAAAGAAATATTTTTGAGTTTGAGTACATATATTTTTTCTTAAATTTTTCAAAAATTATATTTTTCAAAGTTTCTCTTTATTTTCTGAAAAATGGTTTCGAAGTGTCGCATAAAACTGAAATTTGTCTTTGAAACCCATATAAAAAATTTAAATAATCATAAAGTTTTAAGTATTTAATTTCATTTAATATTCGGAAACATGATTCGGAAATGAGGTTTTTAAGGTTTCTAGATTCAGAGAACACAACTTTCGATTCTGGTTTTTTGTAGAATAGCCAGATAACATCTGCTATATGTGGTTCGAATATTTAATTCTATGAATATATTCAGCGTTATTCACAGTGAAATTACATTTTTGCGAAGCATACCATTAGGCTGATGTACAAATTTTCCCAGTTTCGTACAAGCAAAATAAACGAAGTCATAAATTCGCTCCAATCGAAGTAATGTATTGCAGAAAAAATGCGATCTTAAAATTCCAGTCACATGTTGCATGCGAGTTTTCTTTATAAGATTCCATTAATTTTGATGGCCGAATGTTTTGGCGCAATGAAGTGGAGTGTCAGCGAACAGCCGTTGAACGACAGTATGCTGAAATTGGCAACCACTGTAAGCGACTGGGTTGCTGCAGTTAAATGCCACGCGAAATTGCAAATAATGAACAGTCCTAAAAAATCACATTAAATATGCATTAATGTATGCATGAAGCGGCGCTGATAGCCATCACAGCGCTATGATAGGCAAAAAATGTAATGAATACAGATAAAGAAAGCATAAAACAGAAAGCAGCTTGCCAAGAAATAGCAAATAGCAAGTAGACATTTGTTATGCACAAACAATAGCATATAAAATCTGCAATTTTGCTGCCGCTCATATTGTTGCACGCATTTAATATATACAAGTATTTATAGCGGATTGGGTGTGCGCATATGGCAAGCAAATGCATGCGTTGGAATTGTCGCGAGTTTGCATTGTTGCACGCACACATGCATTAAAGTATAATCTTTATATATTTGTATATAACAGATATTCTTTGAGGCTTTCGATTTTGCTCCAATTTGTATGCTAAAAAGCAATTCGTTTAAACAATGATAATAAAATGTATTTTAGATAACTGTATTAGAATACAAAACAAAATGTCAGCAAAGCGGGGAGAGTATGTGATCAGAAAAGCTCATGCATATGATTAATAGATATGAAGATATAATAATATATTTATATTATATATTATATTTATATATGCATATAGATTACCAAACTTTTATACAAATCAAAATATATACGGTCACTAAAGCTTTACTCAGAAGTGTCTTAATGATATTGCAAGCAATTATTAGGTGTTATTTGTGAATCTCATATAATGATTGAACCTCCATAAAATATTAAATAAAAAAATTTTAGCTGCCTAAACGTAGAATAAAATCCCAGACATTTAGAAAAATAACGCATGACTTTGCGGTCGGTGTCACTGTGGTAAATTCTAAGGGGAACTTAATTTTTGATAAAGCAGCTATAGATTTTGCATACAATATTCACACATGCATACATATTAGGAGGGAGCAAAAAAAAAATTTTCTTTCGCTTCTTTTTGATCGCATGCGAGCAGTTCAGACGTCCGCTACTTTTCGCCCGATTTTTGGAAGCATTTTTTGTAGTTTTTAGAAGCCGTTTTTTATAAATATATTACAATTTTATCATACCGGCCGTATCCGTGGTTTACTACAAGTATATAGGTGATTTCAAGTGCTAAAGTGCAAAAAGTGCAAAAAGGTGAGTGCGCAAATGAAACAAATATTCATGGCTTTTTTTTTGCTTAGCCTGGGGTTAAAATTTGTAGATTATAAAAAAAATTGTTTGCTCCACCCTAATACACATACTCAAATTGCAAAACAAAAAGAGCTGCCACTACTGCAAGTCGTGACTATCTTCAATTGGTTTTGGCTTACTAAACAATGCAAAAAATGTACAAAAGCAGGGGAGAACACAAGCACACCCACACCTCTTTCATATCATCCAACTATTGTAGTAGCGAGTCTGCTTCTTGTAAACTGCTATAAAACGTCCATTTCATAGGCATTTCAAGTGACAGATCTCACATGTTTGCGGCTTAAGGCGATTTGTCGGTCGTCTGTTGGGGTGCAGCTGTTGGTAAGCGATAGGTGTAATGGAGTGCTGCTCCAGATTTCAAATATCCACCACAACATCGCACTTTTGGGGGGAACAGATCAAAGCAGTAGGCAGCAGCAATATTTACTAGTAATGGAAAATAAGCGTGTCAAGGCAGCCACCACCGGCGCATGCCGAAGCTTAAAGAAATAGCGTGCAATAAACACATATATGTATACCGTTAGAGAACAGACATGTCTACATAAATACCTTTTTAGTGTAGTTATAATGAATTGGATTTTGATATCTAAATTAAATCTTGGCGACAAAGGCATTATGGAACAGAGATAAGCGCACAGCTGCTCTGCAGTTGGGGTTGCATGTGTATGTGTGCATGTCTGTGCATGCTGGCTTTCGCGCACAAAAAGGTAGTCACCACCAAGAAATATGCTGCAACATATATATGTATTAGCTAGTGTGCAACGCTTATCAGCCTAAAGGTATGCTATTACACTGCAACAAGGCCGATCCATTGCGGCAGAAATTGAAATCGATTTGCGCCAATGCGTCGTGTAGCAATGCAGGAGGGTCACCAATTTCCGGCGGAAATGTTGCTGCGGCCACATCTGGTAAGGCTAACGCTAGTTAGCTTGCGTTGGTATTATCAGCAGGCAAAGCTGCGTGTATTGTCTGCAAATGCAAGTGGTAAATACTTGAGCTTACACAGGCACTCTACAACAAATTTGGGTGGTTGTTTTCAGGTCCACACTCGCATATTTTTACGACTTCTTATCAAGCGTCCATATGTCTTGCTTGCTATTTTGTCGGTGCTTTAAGTTATATATGTGTGTGTGTGTGTGTGCGTATGTATGTAAGCATGCAAGCGATACTCGTATTACCACCGAACCCATCAAAATTTGATTGCCTTTTTTTACACATACACACCATGCGCCGCTTATCAACACAGATTGACGCATTGCCGTTATGTTGTCATTATTGTGATATGCATGCGCTCTTGCAGCCACATATACTCCTACATATATCTTCAGCACATTTATCTGTCCATTTTTACGTGTGTTTGCTTGTGTGTATGACAGTTATTTGAAATTTCATCTTTCGCGCGAGTGACAGGCACATAATTGAAGTTGTCAATTGCCGTATTCGAAACCATTTGATGCGGCGACGATTGTATGACGTCGTTGGCAATAGGTATAATGCACTTATTTTTGTATGTTTGTGCATTTCTGGCAGTATTTGATTTCAGTAGTTATAGATTTGATGACATTTTAAAAGTGAAAAAAAAAAATTGTTCATAAAAACGGTTGCATATTTTAAGGCGATATACAGGGTGTGTATTGTATTTATTTTACTAACCGAGGACAGTTTTTACAGTCTTTTGTAGGCGTCTTTAAAATTATATGAAACTCCTTTCTATATATTTCCAAAAAATGTATCACAACATTGTATAATCCTGTTTTCAAATAATAACTAAATATTTTTACCCTCAACGGGATATATATTATGTTTGCCACGATATTTGTAACATCCAATAGCAAACAGCGGAGACCCCAGAAATCTACAAAGTATATATATATATGATCAACGTGACAAGCTGAGTCGATTTAGCCATGTCCGTCTGTCCGCCTGTATATACGCGAGCTAGTCTCTCAGTTTTCGAGATATGGCACCGAAATTCGCACACGTTTTTATCTCACCAAGAAGCTGCTCGTTTCTCGGAACCGCCGATATTAGACCAGTATATAGCTGCCATACACACTGAATGATCGGAATAAAGTGCTTGTATGGAAAACTTTTTTATTTGGGTAAATATTTTCACGAAATTTTACATAGATTATTGTTTAATGCAATGATGTATTCTCCGAAGAAATTGTTCAGATCGAACTACTACAAGTATAGCTAATAACTGCCATACAAACCTCAAGTCCTTGCATGAGAAACTTTTTTATTTGAGATGATATCTTCACGAAATTTGGCATAGATTAGAATCTAACGCAATGCTATAACCTTCGGTGAAATTGTTCAGATCGAACAACTACAAATTGAAGTCCTTATAAGGTAAACCTTTTTTTATGAGAAGTTATCGTGACGAAATTTTAGATTATTATATCAGGTGTCGTTGCAATCGCCGAAAATACCATATTGTTCAGATCGAACTATTTTAACATATAGCTGCCATGTAAGCTGACTGAACAAAATCAAGACAAATATCTTTTGATATGCTTTTACGTTAAAAAAAAAATGCACCTGTGAAGGGTATTATAGCTTTGGTGCAGCTGAAGTTAACGTTTTTTCTTGTTTTGACCACTAAAAAGCACGCACAGTATGTAAATAAGATGCATAATTTAATTCGCTATAGTTATGATAAAAACTTTGAATAATTATAATAAATACTTTGAATTCTGTCCATATCTAAAATTTTAAAAATATATAAATAGAATCTATATTAACATTTATATGACCCTAATGTTGCTTTAGATTCACGGCAATTAGAGCGTAACAAATTACAATTTTTGCAATACAATTTATACTTTATGGAGAAAAGTTAAATATTTTGTGTCTCAGTCGATTTTCAAACTTATAATTATAAGCTACGTCGCATATATTTTACTAAAAACTCATAAGAAATGCACATTCTTATATTAGTTTGTTTGTTGACAACAAATTCACTGAAAACTGTGAGTATTAGTACTGTTTTAGAAACCTTTCTCCTTACAAATATTCACAATACACTCCTACACATAATATTCGGCTCGAGCTCAGTCAGCGCAAGCGCTTGCCAGCGACTGCACGACCCTAACCACTGGCCGCACCATCGAAATATTGCAAATGCCCACACAGGCTGGCGTTGATATCTTCGAGGTCTACTGTGAGCTGGGCGATCTCGATGAAAAACCTTGGTTGGTCATCTTCTTACGTAAAGAGCCCAAATATGAGTATGGCAGGTGGCTGGACTATACACAGGGTTACCATACACTTAGCGGTAATTATTTCATCGGCCTGCAACGACTGTACACAATCACAAATCGACAGCCGCACGAGCTAAAGCTGCAGCTAACACAGAGAAACGGTATGCAGCATTATATGCACATTGAGCACTTTGCCATCTCGAATGAGACCAGCATTTATGGTGTTTCTTCGTCGGGTGCATATGTGGGTACCATGCCAATCGTGGAACCCGCCGATTGGTTACCTTGGCGTACGCAGTCTTTTGAAATGACAACACGTATGAAAATCAGTATTAGACCAGCGGAACGTGCATACAAGCGAAAATCAAAATATTTTGTAAAAATCAAGCGTCGAGGCAAAGCTTTAAGCAGCGTCGCGCAGGCGAGGTAAAAAAGAAATGTAGGCAAATAAAACATTAAAGCAAATTACTGCTCATTCGAGCTGATAAATGATCAACAATCAAGTGTAACAGGGTAACACAATTTTGGCTGAAATCGATACGAATTTATTCGAGTAAATATGTATTGTATATAGACCTTAGATATACTTGCATGTATGTATGTATGTGTGGTTAGTTGAATAGTTGAATATGTGTCAGTGTGTCTCCATTGTTCTGTCCGGTCGATCGATGAATGTGTAAATCGGGCGAAAGGAGCAAAAAGAAAATTGCTGGCGTTTGTCAATAAACGGAAGTGGCTTATAATATATAACGGCAACACATATGTTTGTTTGTTTGTAAATACGTATCCATATAGTATATACTACTACTATGGCTGAAAACGGACTAAAACAAGTTTATTTTTTGCTTTGCTGTGTGCGGTGTCGGGCGCAGCAAAACAAACCGCTATAGCGGTGTGAGTGTAACAGGAAATGGCAGCGGTATATTTTGTGTTTTTGCTTATTCAGTCATGTGTATATGTGTTAGAGTAAAAGCAACAAAATGAGAGATTTATCACCGAAAATACAAAACAAATGCCGCTGGTATGAATAATAAATCACTTGTGAAAGAAAAATAGCGTTAAATAAAGTGTGCCTCCAAATATGTTGTATAAATGGATAGGCATACATATAAGCATGTGGATGTGTGTGTGTGCAAAATTAAAGCGCGTTTGTCTAAAATAAATAAAACTGTTACGCATTTCTTTGTACTTTTATATCATATTTCCTATAGGTAATATTCGTGTGCATAAAAAAATAATTGTAAACTAAATAGTTTGTAGGGCCAAAGTCTTCTAAGAACGCCTAACGCTAATTTGTTAACCTTTCTAGCGTTGAGATTGTAATTACACGCTCATGCGAATTTTTTTAAAACTGTGAAAGCTTGAGAGTGAATTATTTTAAACCAAAGCGGGTTTGCTGCCACAGGAAATTTTTTTTACATAAGATGATATTTATATATTTTGAAAGATTTTTACTTCCAAAACATCATGAGCCCCTAGCCACTCATAAACCTGCTACTAGTTCTTCTGATAGTGCTTGCCATGCCTCCGCATAAGGTCCCATGTCGGTTGCTGGTGGATAACCGTCGACTTCTCGACCTTTCGCTTCGCGAATATGTTCGATATCGGCGATTCTGACAAATGAGCTTTTCAGATCGATGCCTCAGACCCTTTATCGTTACCCCGGATGCATCAACTCGTATGCGATCTGCACGATATACCATTTCTCTTATTAAAATTTTATTCTCTAGTCGAATATAATTTTAATTTATTTATTTAAGAATTTCATTTTAGTTTAATATTTTAGCGACAAATTTGTATTCTTTCAAGCAATCAATATCATTTACTTTCTCCAGAAACAGAAATAATAAATGGGTGGCTTATAATCCTTTTTAATCTTTTTTATTTTTTTATTTTTTTTTTATGATTTATCTTACTTTAGGCTCAACATCTATCCAACAAAGTAATGTCATTTAGGAAATATGCACCTCATTAGTAAAAACGTAGATATGTTTGAATGCATGTCATATATATTTTTTTGACTCCTCCTAGCCATCTGGCACTAGTTGTCACTTTTTGCTTTCCTCCACAATTTTCTCAATCGAATTAGTCAAACAAATTACACTGTCTTATGACAACTGCCGCTGTTGCAACAGTAATTTTTGGTAATAAACAAACAGTTGGCTATCAGTTATTATTGGCCATTATTGCATGGTTGTATCATTAAATGTGCTAATTAATTTATGAAACATACACAACAAAAAGAAGTGAGCATGCGGACGGCTGTGCAATATTTGGTAAAACACAATTAACAAATTAGATGGATACATTTGATAGCGCAGCGGGACATAATAAACGAGCGGCAATGAGACAAACGCAGAGCAACTTTATTTGCTACACATCTAAATGAATATAGGTATATATGTATATACAAATGTCTATGTGTGTATATGTATGCAAGGCAGGACGTAGTCAGTGAGACACACAATTGAACAGCAGAGCCTTTAGCACACGCCAATGCAGCATGAAATCGACGAAAAAAGGTGCAAAATGCAACGAAGTGTGGAAAGCTGTTTGTGTATGTGTGTGTGTAATTTTTAGTATTGCTGTATTTTGAGAGACAGCGATGGCTTGTCATATTTATAAATATGTAGATATAAATACTTAATATGCATGGTTGGAGGTTCTACATTCAGCTAGATGTTTATCACTGTGTGTGCAACTAATATTTATGACACTTTTATTGCCGTAAATTAAGTTGTAGAAAGTGACAGCCGGTACAAAAAAATAATAAAATATAAAACATTTGAGTTTCGCTGCATGCCACGATGACTCAGTCGTCAAGCCAGCCATAGAGTACGTGCGACATGCAACATGCTGCGCTTTTTTGGTGAAAGTGACTAACGAAATTAATGAGTTGTAAATGACTTTTGACTGGCAACAGGCTAAGTATGCATCTACATACAAGTATATGCATTTTTTTCGAGGACTATTTTGAAAGAAAAAAGAATTCTGTATTTTTCAAGATTTTAATAAATAAGCTGAAGTTATATAACTTGCTTAAAACCAACATTGAAATATCGCTTTATATCCCTTGATGGACAAGAAAAGTAGTTCGAAGAACTCCACTAACTTTTTAAAACAGTTCAGCAAACATTCGGATCATGTTTCTAAACTATCTGTCAATGAAAAAAAAACTTATTTTAGAATATCGAAATACATACATTTTCTTATATTTATTAGTGCTGTTTCCACCTCAGCGACTTTGACAAAGCTCTTTTTCACCAGATCTTTCCATGAAAGAAGTTGCCTTCTTTTCGCTTTTCATCAACCATAATTGAAGTATTAGTGTGCTTTCGACAGATAACTTTAAAGTAAGGCTTTAAAATCTTTGGATTTGAATTCGCTGAATTTTATTGGTGTCATAGCTTTTTCTACCACGGCAGAAATTCACCAGAATGTCGAACTAAGAAGTCGCTAATTATTTGCCAGTAGCAATCAACATTCATGGCACCGTTGTCATCTTCAATTTCAAAAAAATATGAACCAAAACCAACCTCTTCTGAATGCAAAGAATTCCAGAAAGTCCCTTCAGATTTGAGTACCCTACGCAGCAAAAATTGTTGCTTATTCGCTTAGAGATTTTGTTGGTGTGTAGACTTCTCAAAATAATTTGTCACAGTGTTATGAAATATAACCTTAAAAACACCTTATATAACAACAACTCTTCAAAACGAAGCATACCTTTAGGAGCCTATAACTAAAAATGTGTGTAATGTGTTTTAATTTAGCTTCAGATTTATAAATAACAACGTAGCTGTTGAAAAATATATTAACTTCAGTCAACACTAAGCTCGTAGCAATGATCAAATAATTTCTTAAGTCAACATTTATTTTTCTTTTCTTTCATAAGTTGTTTGCGCAATCTCATAGAAAACTGTCGAAAAGTGCGCCGCAATTGCTCTTCTATTGCAAACATTTCAAGTTTCAATATCTTTGACACAGAGCTACAATATTACGCACGACATCACGGGCAGGCAAGTAATTCTTTCCAGCACAAACTGAACAAACAATACGTCATTACCGTTAACGATTGCAACGTCACATATTTACTTACACTTTTGTGTATCCCCAAAAATACCATTTGTTACATATTTGTGACATGCGCTTCTTCCCAAATAACTAAGTAAGTTTGAATATATGTTTGTTTGCGCGTGACAATTTCTGCTGTTTGCCTTTATGCGCTTTTGCATTTGTTTGCGTATGCTTTCTTTGTGGCAGGGCAGAGGGCTGTTGGGTCCAGCGCAAACATCAAATTGGTGGTGTATTTGATTTGTCCAAAAATGTCCACCACATTATCCAACTCCCCATTTGGGCAATGACATTTGCTGCTTCTTTTTACTGTGCAATTATTTGGCGTAGCATACTTGCAGGCGCTAACGAGCTGCAATTCATACTTTGGCAATTTGCGGAGCTCACACACGTTTGGTTTGGTTTATTTGCGAAAACTGTTGGTTGCAAATTATATTTTTATTAAAATGTCATTTACAGTTTTCGTGTAAACACCGGCGTGAGTGTGTGCGTGTGTGAGGTGGACGTGCACTTTGCGTATGCGCTTATTTGGTTAGTTACTCGTCTATTTGGGTTTGTTTGCAAATTTTTGTTTACAGTTGGTGTTCCGTGCGTGCAAAGCTTAAAGTTTCTTTGACCACTCGCTTCCACTCGCTCTGTCTATCTCCCATTTCCTTCTGTTTCTGTCATGAAAGCACTTCATGATGATTACTTCGTATGGTTGCCACAAAATAAACACCATATATATGTTAGTATGAATTTCTAGTTATATTTGAACTACCAAAATAAACTTCAAAGAGCATGTGGGTTCTTCAGCTGCTGTTGCATTTGTGTAATTAGTTTACTTTTATAATTAATTATTATTTCTCAAAGTACAGCAATTACGTAAAGAACGTGAAAGTTTGAAAATGTGGAAATGTCTCTCGAGTAAATAGTGTAGTATGAAAAGAAAAATTATTATTTGACACAAAAGACTGAGAGTCTTGAGAAAAATATCTTAATGTTAAGAAAGCACACGACGAATTAGGGCTTTAAGGTCTCTTAGATATATTCTTAAGCATTCAAACATATGCTGCGTTTGTTCGACAAACAGCTGTCACCACAACGTGTCAGCGATCGACAACGTTCAGAAAATGCTTACGAATTTACAGAAATGGAAGGTTAACTGTACCAAAAGTCTCAAAGACAAGCAGGTTTAAGTGATTACAGCGTTATTTTTTCGGCAAGTAATCCAGCCTGTAAAAATGTAATTATCTTATATAAGTATTTGGTTTCGACACTCTCTCGAGTCTATTGAAAGCTCTTTATAAAAGTAAGATGCAGCTTTATACTAAGAGGACTCTTAAAGCTGTCCAGAAGTTTTCCGTAAAACTTTCGACTGAAAGTAAAGACAGTTTCTCGGCTTCTTTGGATTACTTTGTGGCTAATACTCCATAATAGCAGCGGTATTATTCTGGTGAGTCATTTCTTGTTACAGCCACACTATGAGAACCAAGTTAAGATTAAAGGTTCGCAGTACTAACAATAAGCTTATAAGGAAAGAAGTGTTCTGCGCCTAAAATCTAACCTTTATGCTGTCAAGAGTCCAAATTTGTGGAAAAAAATGTATTCTCTTGACTAAGCAAAAAAAATTATATATATAATTCTCTTGAGTATTTTTTGTTATGAAATAAAAGGAAATTCTAAATTTCTGCTAATAAAGAATTT